ACTTCCTGCAAAGGAAAACCAAGCCTCCCCTGCTGCCAGGGCCCTGGGCCCAGCTACCACTATCCCCCCCCTTCTCCTCCCAAGAACATGCCAGAAAGGTGCCCCCTCCTGGCAGCTGGCATTCTCAGAACTGCCTGGGGCGAGGCTCCAACCAGAGTCCACGGCTGCCCTCTGGTGGCCATGAGGGGAGTCGAATGCGAGGCATCTCAGATTGGGGCCTCCCAATTCTTGATTGTCCTTTCAAGCCAGCACTTATAGTCCCAGGTCATTAGGTTCTGTGTCACCAGCCACAGAGGAGGGGGCAGGAGTCATCTGGGGGAACTAACTGCTGGATCAATAGGGCAAGACCCCTGGAAAAAATTAATGTCCCTCAGACACACTGAATGAGTAACCGGGCAGCTTGAGGGAGGCCCAGGCTTCACTGAAGCTCAGAATAAAAGAAGTGCTGTCTGCAGCTCAAGCAGACGTCACCCCCTCTGCACAGTGGAGGACACCACACCCTTTAAGTTATGTCAAATCCCCGAGGGAGGGACAGGGCTGGATCCTGGGAGCAGGCGCTGCTGTGGCCATCTGGTCTGGGGAGGGGAGAAGTGGGGGGGCAGAGCACTCAGTTCTCGGCAGGGGCTCTGCCCCAGGCCCTCTGGGGGCTGGGTTCGCCCCAGGCCCAGGTGGGAATGAGCACTGGCTCTCAGATGCCCACCCAGAAGCAGGTCCCACCATCTCTCCTGTTCCTTAGGCCCTAAGGAACCTCTTCTGGCACCCACGCAGCTCCTGGTTCCTGGCTCCACTCCACCGGGCCCTGGGAATGCTCACCTGTATCCTAGGAGCCCACCCTGCCCAGCAGCGCCCCACCTCCCTGCCTTTTTCTCCCTAGCACACAGCGTGGTCTGGCGACTACTTCTGGCTCCTTCGCTGTTGACTCCCACTGGGATGTGAGCTCCATAGGAGGGGGCCTCGTCCTGTTCCCGGCTCCAATCCCAAGTCAGGCGGGGTGCCTGGCACACCGTGGGCTCTTCTCTGGGCTTTCTTACCTTAGCCCCTTCCCCCCTACTGGGTCGTGACCCCTCTGGATGCCCCCCTCCCAAGAGTCCAGCAAGTGGGGGTGAATATAACCAGCAGGAAATGGCCTGGAACATCCCCCCGCCTTTTTTTTTTTTTTAACAAAGTGTGTGTGGCCCTAACCAGTTTGGCTCAGTGGGTAGAGCATCGGCCTGCGGACTCAAGGGTCCCAGGTTCGATTCCAGTCAAGGGCACATCCCCAGTAGGGAGTGTGCAGGAGGCAGCTGATCTATGTTTCTAATGGTTCATAGGTCGATGCTCAACCATGGAGCCACACCGGCCTGGAGCCCTTTAAAGGACTTTCCTGAGCTGCCCTGGAGGAGAAGACTCACTGTGGGTGTCTGGGTCCCAATCTCCCCGACCTTCCGCTTCTCACACCTTAGGTTAAGACACTGGTTCTCAACCGGGGGCGACTTTGTCCCCCCACCTCCACCCCAGGACACCTGTCAGTGTCTGGAGACATTTTGGTTGTTACTCTTTGGGGTGGGGCAGGAACTGGTGTCTAACAGGTGGAGGCCAGGGATGCGCCTCACACACAAAGGACAGGCCTCCACAGACCCAGGCCAGCACCAGATCTGCCGGCAATACCACCTGCTGGCCTGTGGCTTCACCCTTTCTTCAGCAAAATGGGGGTTTATTAGTGCCCACTTCACAGCACGCTGCCTGGCCGGCAGTAAGTACTGAACAAGTATTAGCTACTACTGAGAAGAAAGGTGTGAAGAAATGATGAAAGCCCAGCTGGGCACAGGGCTGGGACCTCTGCTTTACATATCTGTCACACCCTGGGCCGCCTCTGAGTGGGATGTGGCCCCAGGGAACCAACAGTTTGGGCTGTTCGCTTGGAAAGAAATGATGAGTCAATTTCCATTCCTCTTTATTAGGGAGGGGCCAGAGGATGGGAGGGGAGGCGGGAGGAGTCAGCAGGAGGAAAAGAGTTTGAGAGGAGGGGAGCAGAGTGACAGGAACAGAAAAGTAACTGAAATTACTTGGCATTTCCTGGAAGGTGATGGCTGGTTAATGCCTCTGCCCACTGCTGGCAACACACACATGCACACATGCACGCACACAGGCACACACAGCAGGGGAGGAAACGGGTCACTCCAAACAGGGTGTGGGACCAGCTAAAGGAAGAGGAGCCACCGCCTCAGGGAATGGAGACTCAGGGCCTGAGAGGCAGTGAGAGTCCCGGTCAGCATACCAAGAATCAGCCAAGACACTGGAACCCTCATCGGGTCCTCCCGTCCTCCACAGGCTACCCAGGCTGCCCCTCCTCACACCAAACTGGAAAGGGCATGGCTTTCCAGGCCACTCAGATTGAAGTTAAAATCCCAGTGAGTGAGGTCAGGCAAGCGGCCCAACCTCTTTGAGCCTTTGTTCCCTTGCAAGGGAAGTAGGGTCACACGACCTTGTGCAGATCACGTGGTCTGCCTGGCACAGAGAAGGTGCTTGGAACTTGCTGGTCTTCTCCCCCCTTCCCTCCTGGCCACCCTGACGTTCACCTTAACCTCATCACACCTGCAGAAAGCACCATGTGGGGAAGGGAAGCAGGCAGCCCTGAGGGGTGCACCTCGGCAGAGAGGGAGTTAACGGTAATGCCTCGGTGCCCAAGGTATCTTTTCATTCCCTCCCTCTTCTGGGACCCTCACACAGAAGCTCCCTGTTTGAGGGGAGGAAGCAGAGATGGAGGAACGATGGAGGGTACAGAGGAACTCGCTCAGGGACATCGCTGGCTTCCATCTCCCAGGTCCTGTCCTGAAGTCCTCTAGACAGTTGAGGGCGCCCACCAAACTCTTCGAACCAGAAGCTGGGACCACACCTACCAAGCGTGAGCACACTCAGGGGAACAAATGCTAGGCTGTGAGCAGCAGGTCTTATTAACCCCAGGGCTTCTGCTGAAGACAGGGTAGCCTAGTGGTTAAGAGTGTCAGACGGGAACTGCATACATAATCCTGGCTCCACACACGACCGTCATTTATGTTCTCTGTGCCTCGGCTTCCCACCTGTAAAATGGGGATGCTAATAACAGCACCTACCTCAGGGGACTGCTGGGAGAATTAAATATACCTGCAAGCAAAGCACTTAAGCACCTGGAACAAATCCATCACTTAATAAGTGCCATGTATCAGTGTAATGAATAGTTGTTGAATGAATGAATGAATGAACGAAGGGGACAGACACTGAAATCAGAACTGTCCCCTCCCACAAAATTGACTCTACGGGGCTCCCAAGGAGAAGGGCACCTCTTCGATAAGAGGCCCCGGGAGCAAGGGCTTCCTAAACACAGAGCAGGCATCGCTCTGCAAACTCTTTTCTATAAAGGGCCAGAGAGTAAATATTTTAGGTTTTGCATTGCAGGGTCTCAATCTCAACTGCTCAGCTCTGTGGGTGAGAGTATGCAAACAATGGGCGTGGCTATGTTCCAATAAAACTTTATTTGCAAAAACAGAGCAAGCCAGGTTTGTCCAGAGGGCTGCGGGTGGCATCTCTTCTTGTCCCCCATTTGTCCCTGAGCTGCCATTGCTGACTAGAGAGCCCCCGGGGGAGGGGCAATGCAGTCTCCAGCTAGAGGGGGGCAGCCAGGCCCAGCCACTTGGGCAGCAAAAACAGGAACCAGCCTTCTGGGCCACCATCTCTCTGAAACCGAAGCTCAGCAACGAAAAAAGGACCAAAAAAGCAGAAGGTGGAGCTGGAGCAGAGCCAGTGTGTTCCCCGGTGTCCTTGCAATGCCCCCTAGACCCACCTCGGGGGCCACAGGACCACACCCACCCTTGGGCTGCCACTGCTCTCTGGGCCCCCTGGTGCACACATCCCAAATGGGGACACTGCGCCTCCCTTAGCACTTGAGAAATTAAAAAAGAAAAAGAAAAAAAGAAAGAAAAGCAGAAGGTGTAAAGTTCAAGCATGGTATCATATAAGAACCGCCTATTCAAAAAAAGTTAAAAAAATGAACAAAGTAAAATAAAACATACGAAATAAAACATACAAAAAAAAAATAGGGGCTTCCAAGGGCTCCAGCCAGGCAGAGCAGAGAGAGCTCCGTGGTGCTGGCCCTGGGTCCTCACAGCCCAGGCCAGCGTCTGCGGAGGGCAGTCATGATGCACGGGGTTGGGGGAGCGGATGGGGCACAGTCTCTGCTGCAGGGCCGTGCAGGAGCCCCGCCTCAGGCCCCACCTGTGAGTCTCTGGCTGGTGCTGGCATACCCGCAGGCAGGCTGACCCCTGCAGAGCCCCAAAGAGCCACAGAGGCCTGCAGCACGTCCTCCTGACTCTATGGCTCCTCAATCCCTCATCACCACCCAGCACACCCCGTGAAGCACCCTCTGGGCCTGGCACCACACCACGGCCCCAGCCCACCCACCCCAGGAGCACCCACCGCGCTCTTCACGCAGGGAGGGCACAAAGGCTGAGGAGGAAGGGGGCACCACGCTCTGGGGCTGAGCAGGTGAGCATTCCCAGGGCCCTGTGGGCAATGCAGAACCACCCCTTCTGCCACCTCATCAGCAGACGGCGGTGTCCCCAAAACCATGCCAGGTCTTTCTGTTCACCACATGCCCCCTCACATCTCACTGCCCCTTGAAAGCTGGAACGAGCAGGAACCAACTTCCCCGTTTCATTTTGGGGGAGACTGAGGTTCAAGGAAGCAAAATGACTTTACCCAACACCTGAGGTGCCAGTGAACGATACAGACGGACTCCCGCTGCCCAGCGCACGGTCCCTCGCTCTCTCCCTTCTATAGAGGCCCGGCTCTCCCGGAAGCATGTACAGGCTTTATTGCTCCTGAATCTCGGCCCTTCCCCACTCTGAACAGCTTGATGTGACAAATGTGAGCAAGCAGCCCCACGGATCTCCCAGAGCACACACACAGAGAAGAGGGAGGCCGGACTAAACGCCGCCGCCGGCAGAGAAAAACTTCTGCGTCCCACTCGGCGGCCAGCGACCTACCCCTTCTTCAGGTTTGTCACGTAAGCGCTCTGCAGGGCAGCTTCCAGGAAGTAGGTGAGCTCATAGTCAACGGGGTGGGAGCCTTTCAGGTGCCTCGATGTGTTGTTGTTAGTGACCTGGGAAGGGAACAGAGAGAAAGCCACTGTCCCTGAGTTTTGAGGCACAGCCGGCCCCATGACCACCCCATGGGAACGTGGTGCAGTACTCAGACCAAATCCAACCCAATTTGCTTTCATTTACAATACGTCTATAGCACTCTCTCCCCACCCAGATGCCGGATGCCACGACAGCCCTACAAAGCTGGCTTTGTCTGCATTTTACAGAGGAGGTAACTGAGGCTCAGAAAGTGCCTAAAGTCACAAAGCTGGCATGCGCTGGACCTCAAACTCAGGTTTGGCCAGCTATCTCAATTCCAGGCTATCTCTACTACTTATTGGTTCATTCATTCAACAAACACCCGAGTGCCTCCCATATGCCAGGCACCACGCTGTCCCTGTCAAACAATCACAGAACATCAAAACAGCCCAAGGGCAGGGTCCCCAGGTTCCAGAAAAGCTGAGGAACAATTATGCTATTAACTGAGCTGTCCTTATTAACGGGGCTCTAAGTCTCTCAGTAAGAGGCCACCCAGCCCCACCACAATTGGCCTGCCTTCATGATGCCACTTCCCTTCTCCGATCCAAGAAAAATATCGACGAGCCAGACACCTCATTTTTCAGAAATCAAAGTAGATTTAAGAGATGTTCTCAGCTGCTCAGAGGCGGGGGCTGGGTCTTCGGAGGAACGCAGAGTTTCCGAGAATGCACAGGGTTCTCTGGCTGGCCCTCCCTCAACGCGAGGTAACCAGCGCTCAGGCTGTCCACCGCCATCGGGCACTGATTCCAGGCCTGAGCACCACTGCAGCTCATCACCTTAATCTCCTTTTAAAAGTCCAAAGTCCAGGCTTCTGGCTGAATGAGAGACTCTTCTTTTTCATGAAAGTTTCGTCGAAACCCCATGCCATTCAAATGTGAAGAGCACCTAAAACGCTGCTGGCTAGCAGTGATCCACCGAACTTCACGAGATCAACTCGACCCCTCGGGTCTCCCAGAGGACCTCTGCCAGGGACCGCACTCCGGTCCTGTCTCTGCTGAGCATGTCGATCACTGCTCCTTTCCTCCCGAAGTCCAATCGAGGAGGGGGACTCTGGGGCAGTGCCTCTCAACGGGGGACGGCAGGTGACTCAACCAAAAACGGCTGCTGGCACCCGGGGGGTATAGGCCAGAGATGCTGCTCCACATTTTATAAAATGCAGCCACACAACCAAGAACTATCTGGCCCCAGATGTCAGGAGTGCTGAGACTGAGCCCCAGGAGGACTCCGGCAAAAAGCTCCATCACAAGCACAGGTGCTGGGTGGACATTCTGGCATTTGCCCAAGGAGGTGAGTGAGATTCAAGTGTCTCCTGGGCTCGAAGGCTCTCAGCTCATAACCACCTCCTCCTGCAGATGCCTGCAGGATGCCAATCCTCACCTACTCTGCCATCGCACCCGCTGTCTAAAAGCGTGTCTTTGGAGGCGTGCAGGGCACATTTTTCTAATTTGAGAGGCAGGTTCTCAATAGAGGGCAGCCATGAACCCGGTGCTGTAATTCCCAGCTCACCTTCTCCAATTCCTGCAGGAACACCTGCGCGATCCAGGAGGCCCTCTCGAAGCAGGTGATGACTTCCTCTTCCCGCTCAGTCATGCGGTGGCGGGAAGCGATGGAGTTGGGGAGGCGTTCCAGGGAGAGGCCTGCGGGAGGAGGAGAGCAACTCAAACCTGCTCTGCTCAGGCCCCCGACTCCAGGTCCTTCCCCCGGGGCCCGGGGTGGGCTCCGCCGAGGAGACCTAGGCTCTGGAGCAGCCAGCGGGAGCCGGAGGTCCGCGGAGGGGAAGAGGGGGGCTAAGCAATGGTGGTATTAGCAGCAGCTGGGATCAAGCGGTAGGCAGACAGCAGGCACCCATGCCCCACATGGGGAACCACACTGTGACACCTGCACATCCTACTCCTACCTATGCCTCCAGACCAACCTCTCCAGGAACCATTCCGGACCCTCCCCTCTGGCTGTGAGGAGAAAACACCCACACCCCCAGGCACCCTGCACTGTAGACTGGTAACTTGTGCCAGCTCCTCTCCCCAGGGAGCTGAGAGCTCCCTGCGGACAAATGTGATTCTCTTGGGACGTCCACCATCCCTGGCACACGGCAGATGCTCGATGCTTGAGCTACACAGCATTTTACATGCACCTCTCCCGTGGAACCAGTTTCCATCTCGCCAAAGCGATCTGCACCCAGGTCTTATGGGCCGAGAGTGGATGCACATCTGCTGGTTGTGCCTCCACTTCCCATTCTTTCAACAGCAGCACCTTGCTTTCCCTTTGAGCACCCCTCCCGCAGTCTCAGCCTGTGTGGTTCAAGGGTGATGACCCCAGTCCACCTCCAGGGCAGCACATCAGCCGGGCTGACCCACCCTCAGGGCCACAGTCAGTGGCTAAGGAGGAGCACACGATCCAGTCTGAGCCAAGAAAGAACCAGTCCCTCCTTCCACTGGACTTGGTAAGCTGGTGAGAGGTCGGCCCGGAAATGTCGGGAAAGCCCGCCTGCACACGAAGCTGCACAGCGTGAATGCAGTTCACCCACTGCATGTACACTGAACAACGGTAGTATGTTGTTGTTTTTAGTTTATTGATTTTCAGAGAGAGGGGAAGGGAGAGGGAGAGGGAGAGAGAGAAAAACATCCATCAACTGCCTCCTGCATGCCCCTTACCGGGGATTGAGCCCGAAACCAGGGCATGTGCCCTGACTGGGAATCGAACCTTTGACCTTTGGTGCACCGGATGACACCCAACCAACTGAGCCACACTGGCCAGGGCGATGGTAAATTTTATGTTATGTGTTCTTTACCACAATTAAACATTTTTTAAATTAAAATAAAAGCAGAGTGCTAAAGCAAAGCAAAACAAAAAACCCCCAAATCCCAAAACAAAAAATCTAAGAAGCCAAGAAGGGAAAGCACTGTTGTACTTACTAGAAGTGACCGGGGTAAGGGAAAACAACTACATTTGTATCCGTTTTTTTAAGACAGGAAAGATTGAATAAACTTAGTCATGAAAGAAAATCAACGGTGCCTACGCAGAGTAAAGGGGAGATACCATGGAAAAGAGCTGGTTCTTAAAGACACTATTTGAGCAACTTGCCTGAAGCTCTACCCCCTGAAACTTATAAACCTTTCCCCCCAACCTCTTTTTGAGTCATAGTCAGTTTAAATTGTGTTTCTGTCACTTGCAACTTGCACAGACCCGACTGGAGGGGGCTGTCCTAGACTGCCGGTTCCCAATGGGCAGAACCAGTCTCTCTCATCTTCGTGCCCCACACAGTACTTGACAGGCACTGGGTGCTCAAGAAGGACTGACTGAAGGAACTATAAGAACAGAATCCTCAACTCTCTCCTGCCCTCCACCCTCCACATCCAACCGATAACTATGCCCTACCCTCCCTTCTCTTGCTACCCACCACTCAAGAGGATGCCCACATCAGCCTCCTAGCTGGCCTCCCTGCCTCCATCCTCCCTCTAATCCATCCTGCACATGGCTCCCAGGGCGATCCTGCCAGGCTTACTTACAGCCCTCCAGGAGTACCCACTGCTACAGACCAAAGTCCAACCTCCTAACGCTCCTTTCCAGGCCCTCCAAGATCCATCTATGCCGCCTCTCGCCATATGCTGTAGATCGGGTGTTGTGTTCTCCCCAAATCCATATGTTGATGGTATTGGGAGTGGGGTCTTTGGGAGGTGATTGGGTCCTGAGGGTGAACCCCTCACTAATGGGATAGAGCCCTTATAAAAGAGGCCCCAGAGAGCTCCCTCCCTCCTGCCACCACGTGAGCACACAGCGAAAGTTGGCAGCCTACAACCTGGAAGGGGGCTCTCACCACAATCCGACCATGCTGGTGCATTGATCTCAGACTTCTAGCCTTCAGAACTGTGAGAAGTGAATATCTGTGGCATATAAGCCCGTGGTACCTGTCATAGCAGCCTGAGCTGTCTCCGACACCATAACTGCCATGTCCACACCCAGCCTCCTGCACCCAACTGCTGACCCTGCTCAAGTTGCTCCTGCTGCCTAGAATGCACCCACCCCTGTACACCCCAAATTACTCCTCTCCTTCTGCCCCACTGAGTCTCTTCTATGATGCCCCTCCCAACATACCTGGTATAACCAACCATTTCCTTCTTGGATCTCGGTCTGTACTTTATACATACCCCACCATTTCTTACACGTATTTGTTCACACATTTGCCCAGCCAGCCTGTAGGCTCCTTAAAGGCATCGACCTTATCACATTCACCTTTCCACAACCTGGTGCACAGTAGGTGCTTGGCAAGCACTGGCTGGCTGAAGTAACAGCAAGCCTGATCATGTCTGACAAAGTACAAAGTCTCTGCCAACACAAGGTGAGGAATTATTATTGTTTTTCTTGGCTACATCCCAGCTCTACGGATCCAGTGACCTTGCCCTCTGCCTGGCTGGGGTGTGAGCAGGTCTGAAGGTCGGGGTGGCTTGGTCTAGGGGGAAGCGGTGAAGGTGAAGGCCCTTGCTCAACACAAAAACTCAGTTCCTTGTGTCCCTGAGTGTCAACTGCTTCCTGCCAAAGACTCACAACCATTTCAGCTCCTCACTGGAGAGGACTAAAGGGGGAGGAGAAATAGAGGGAGTAGTGGGGGAGCCGCAGAAAGAAGGCAGAAGGTGGCCCCACTGCTCCCTGTCCGTGCTGGCCCTGCCCCTGCTCCTAGGTCACATGGCCTGTCTGCCCAGCAGGAAGGTGGGGCAAACATACAAGCTGTCCCAAGACCTAGCCTGGGAGACGAACTGCAGGTGGCAGGAGGACACCGCCAACTCCAGAAGGCAGCGTAGCCCTGTTTTAACACAGCCACCCTGCCCCCCAGCCCGAGATGTGCCGCTGGCTGGCTCCCCTCCCGCCCCCGCTCTGGACCCTGAACTAAGATAGACGATGCCAGTGGCCTGGCACGTTCAGGCTGCTGGTCCCAGGCCTGCAGTTGAGGGGTCGCAAAGCAGTGAACTTAGTAACATCTGTCTGGGGGGCCTCCTGTGCTTCATGTCTCCTTCTGCTCCCAATTCTCCGAGAATTCCAAATTCGATTGTCCTTGGATGCTCACAGCAAAACCACCTCCTCTCGGAGACCTTCTTCAGCTGCCCAACCTCAAACCAGAGGAACATTTTAGCTGCATCTCCTTGTGTGAGCCCTTGTCCTCACATGGTCAACATCCTCTCTGCCCATTTCTGACTGATCTTGGCACCCAGTGAGGGCTTGGCACTGAGTGAGAGGATGGGAGCGTAGATGAGCAAACATACACACGCATGCTGAGTACAGAGCCCACTGGGTTTCTCCCTCTCCGTTCCAAAACTAGTTCTTGCAGAATTCATAAACAAATTGTTTTTAGAATGGACTACTAATCAGAAATAAAAAGACAAACTCCTGATATACATACAACATAGACGAATCTCTCAGAAATTATATTGTGCAGAAGGAGCCAGATCAAAAGGTACATGCTGTATTATTGCAGTTAAATAATACTCAACAAAGGAAAAAAATTAAGCTAATTAATAGAAATCAACTAATCACTGCCTGGGACCAATTGGGAAAAGGTGAGGAATGTCCTGGGGTGACGGAAACAGCCTTCGTCTTTATTGGGGTGTTGGTTATGTGGGGATTTACATTTGTCCAACTCATCACATTAAACACTTAAGATTTGTGCCCCTTCCTGTATGATAATTTACCCAAAATTGATGGACACACACCTTTCCTAAGGAAGCAGCTGTGATTCTGGGGAAGTGAAGGATGGAAAGCAGAGGGGCGCGGTCCCTGAGGTGGTCTCTGGGAAATAATTTCCAACATGCACAGGACAGAAGCTTCTGGAGCTGGCAACGGCATTTCCCAACCAGGGTCACCCATTCCGCCCATACAAAGAGGCTTCTTTACCTATTTGCTCTTTGACTCATAAAAAGGTCCATTTTCCTGCCCACAAACATCTGATAGAAAACGTGCTGGGGACTCCAGCTGGTGGGTTCCCCTTCGCCCTCTGCCTTTGAGCGCTTCTGCCCAAGTGGCCGGACTCCAACACTAGATCCAGATGGAGATGGGCTGCTCCGTGCCACCAGGCCCTGGGAGGGCCCCGGGGGTTGTAACGAAGGCTTGTCAATCAGATAGGAGCCGGGGCCGGAAGTGCCAGGCACTACCTCCCGACTCCCCCTGGCAAAGGGGCCTTTCTGTGAAAACACCCAGCTCTACCAGCCAAGGGAGGAGCGCTGGTCGAGAGGAGCGCTTGCTTCTTTCATTAACTTTCGGTTTGGACGCAAGCTGATGCTGGTACAGCTCCGGGCTCGGCACCCAGGCTGGTGGCAGCCTCCTCGGCCTGGGATGACTCATCACATCCCAGACAGCTGCCCTTCCAAGAAGCCCCACCCTGGGGGCCCTGGGCCTGGCTGCAGAGGTGGAGAGCACAATGCTTCCTCTGCCTCGGAACTTTCCACACGGGTGGACCCCTCCCTCTCGCCTACCCAGCAGGTCCAACAGCACAGGGCACCCACAGAGGGCACCCACAGGGGTGGGGAGAGGAAGAAATGCAAGCCACCGCTTCAGCCCTTAGGGAGGAAGCCTCAAGGCCAGGTGGGGAAGAACCCTCATAAATCACACACAAAGGTGGGCAACTGTGGGAATGTAAAATGGTTCGGCC